GTTCAACCAGCTTCTAAAGTCTAACCTTTTATTCAAGTTTGTCTAACAGACCAACAATTATCGTCGACTTTGGTGTCAGTTTGCTATTATCAATAATTTCTTCTGTTGGTTTTTCCTACAAAGATGATGATTGGATTAGTCAGAAAAATCGGAGTGTCTTAAGAGTGTCTTAATAAGGCTTTTCCTGCTTATTAGCCTGAATATGATCTGCACTGACCTCCAAATCCTCTGACCAGTGATGATAGAGCGGAAAGGAGAAGAAGGCAAACGAAGAGAAATGGTTCAATTTTGTTGAAAAAAAAAATTCAGTGAATTCATTGAAAATTTCTCAGTGAAACATGAAGTTCCACCTTCGTTTATTCAGTTTAAATCTGTGTACTTTAAGCAAGTGGAATTTTCAATTTTCAGGAAAGCATAGCAACTATTCATTTCACTTCCCATCAAACACTGCTGCTTTTTACAATGTATTTATTTCTTGGAGGTGTTGGCAACGACTACACTTTTTCCTTTTTCATAAGCCAAAAAACTATCGGTTTTTGCTTCGTTGTAGGATTCTACATGGAGAACGTCAATTTTGGTAATTTAAAGCCATCTTTGATCACCAAAGCAGATACTGCTGATGTTCTGAACTTTATTTTTACTGATTTTATATTTAACGAACCGCACGTTGCTGCTGTTAAATTTGAACCTAAAAATGCTGCAACAATTTTTAAAGGTTTGTTACTGCGCCTGTTGCCACTATACTTTTTTGGTATGACACAGCTTCACTCACTTTTGCTCACTGTACTATTTATCTTTTAGGAGACTTAAAAGCTGCAATCAAGTCAAAATTATCCCATGTTTTGAGAAATCAGAATATGAAAATTGTTGCCTTACGACTGGCCTATACACTTCATTGACTGACTCCAATAAAATTTTCTGTTTTATTGGAACAAAACTATTGTCTATCATGTTAAGAAGAGTAGATAGAAAAGAAATTCAAAAAATATAGAGACTTTTTTCA